TGATCATCTGGTTTCTTTTCATCTTCATGTCCTTGCTTCTTGGACACTCTTGGATAGGGGCAGTTTGCTTTGAAGTGCCCAGGCTGTCTGCAGTTGTAACAGAGGTACTCTCCATTGCTTTCAGAGGACTTGGTCTTCTGATGTGGTCTTCTGATGGAAGATGGACTCCTTCCATCTTTCTTCATAAACTTCTTAAACTTTCTGGCAAAAGCAGCCATATACTCATCAGATAACAGAGTAGAAGGGTCAAAGTCACTTACCTTTGAGGTGCTAGCAGTGAGAGCAGTGGTGGTCCTCTCATCAGGAACTTCTTCCTTCTCTTCATGCATCTCAAACTCATAAGCCTTGAGATCAGAGATGAGTCTTTCAGTGGCATAAGTCTTGATGTTCTTGCTTTCCTGGACTGCAATCACCTTCATCTTCCAAGCTGAAGGCAGTCCCCTGAGGATCTTCATGTTGACCTCTTTGATGGTGAGCTCCTTCCCAAGCTCAGAAATCTCACTGATGAGAATCAGCAATCTCTCATGCATCTTAGCAATGCATTCTTCTGGTAGGAGTTTGAAGTCATCAAACTTCTTCATTGCAATGGTCAGCTTGTTGTCTCTTTCTTGTTCATCTCCTGCTCCAATCTCATCCAGCTTATCCCAGATTTCTTTGGCAGTTCTGCACTTCTTTATTCTATTGAAATATCTTTCATCAATAGCTTTGTAGAGAATGTCCTTGGCAATGTTGTCAAGGTTATACTGTCTTTTCTCTTCCTTGGTCCATTCTGACCGGGCTTTCTCAATCATCTGGGGCTGAGAGTTATCAATGGAGTGAGCAGGATTGATCTTCATGAACTGGATAAAGGGTCCATTCTCCAAGACTTCCCACATTTCATCATGTAGGGCACATAGATGTGCCTTCATTCTGATCTTCCAATCATCATATTTCTGATCTGTGAACATAAGATGCTTTGCAAGAGAATTATCCATTATAATAAATAAAGAGAGGCTAAGAACAAGTGGATCTTTGTTCAGAGAGTAACCTAAAAGATTACAAGAACAAGGAGGCTCTGATACCACTTGTTGGTCCCGTTAAATATGGTAACCAGTCTAGAGGGGGGGGTGAATAGACTGGTCGGTTTTTCAAATTTTCTCTAAGTCCGAAGTGACTTATCAGAGAAGGTCTGATTCTGATGACAGAGAAAGGCTGGTTCTGATATCAGAACTGGCCTTGGCAGCGGATTCTGATCTGTCCGGGTAGCCTCAGAAACACTAAGGCAAATGCCTTTCTGATAACTCTTAAAACAAGATCTGCTGAACACAGATTCCAAGTCTTAGAGTTAATCAGTTAATATCCTAAGTGCAGAAATGAAAATTGCAGTAAAGTAAATGACACCGGATATTTTATAGTGGTTCAAGGAACAACTCGTTCCTCTAGTCCACTGTTCCACTAGCTTTGAAGTAGATCGGTTACAAAGCTTAGTTCCTAGCACTTAAGAAGTTCTCCACGCCTTCTTCAAGTCTAGCTGCCACCCAGGATGCAATTCCACGTCCTGATGGCTGGTCCTTTCACTCAGCTTCCCGGAAGTATCACCACTTCACTACTGCAGTTACTTGGACGCCCTTCTTTTCAGAAGATCCTTTGAAAAACAGAGTTTTTCCTCCAACTTGCTTCGTTACAAAGGATGTTTGATGAAGTTTTTGAAGTGTTGAAGAACAGGATGAACTTTGCTTGTTTGTTGGGGATGAGAGATTTGGAGTTTGAATCTTCCCAACGTAAGCTTGTCTTGTTGAAGGTTGTTAGAATTTGAATCTCAAGAGAGCTTGAATGATGATGAGCAAAAGTTGTAGCAAAGTTGTTTTTCTGTTCTTCGGTGTGTAGCTTATATACTGAGGTTGTCTGCCCGTTGGAGGAGGAGACAACTGCATTAAATGTGCGTACAGTTGACTTGACCGCCGTTTTGGAAGGTTTCTATTTTTATAATATATCTTCCCGGATTCCTTGGTCAATCATTTGCAATCAATCCTTCAGCGTATCAGGCTCATTTAATGTGCATTAAATGCTTTCCTTTCATGCACAGTCTTCTAGCCGTTGGATGTTTTTACCCGTTGAATTCATAGCTGTTGGATGTTGCTTGAAATCGTCTGAGTGTTCGTCGAGCTCTGATCAGGTTCTTCTGATATGTTGGATTCTGATGGCTGTCTGATGAGTTGAGTTCTGATGGTCTTCTGATCTCTGACTGAACTCTGACTCTGATAGGTCCGCTGATGAGTGCTTCTGATCTGTAGTTCTCATAGGCTATCAGATGTCCAGGCTTATCAGCAACTCTCATGATGCAACTCTGATGGACTTCTGGTAAGAGAACTCTGATGGAGCAGTTCTCATAGAGGAAGTCTGGTCGAGCAGTTCTGATGCACTTCTGATCTGATCCAAAATAGAGCAACTCTGATCGTCGACTACACTAATACTTACAATTAAAAAATCTAATACATAAAATCTAACTTGGGGGTACTCTAACTTTCTAATCCTATAGCATCATCAAAATCTAATTACATTTATTCCTTACAGCAGATGTTTGATCAGATCAGTGTCGAATTTTCTTCTTCTCATCTCCAGAAAGTCACCCCAAATTAGTGAGGTGAAGTCATAGTTCTTCATGAATGCGACCCCATGGAAGATGTATACAAGGTAGCCGTCCTGGTTTGATAGCAGACATCAGTCGGAGGGGTTCAGCGTGTCCTAGTTTGATCATGTCTTCAAATATTTCCGCTTCTGAGGCCAACGCATCATAGTGTTCATCCTCCGGGATCTGTAGCACCTGTTGGACTAGCTCCTTTGTGATTGTGACTCTGGTGTTGCAGATGGTTGCCGCCAGTACGTCATCAATTGGTTTGCCAGCCTCATCTATGTCCTTGTCAAGTGTTCCCCAGAATTGTTGGAGATACACCTGAGGGACTTCAGCATTTTCGTTCAGTGCCTTCCACAATTTGTGGCCTTTGAGAATTGAGACGACCACATTGTCTTGGCAAGAGAACACTTCGGGGTCCAACTGTGAGTTGCTCTCCTTAAGCGGGATCCATTGTTCCCTGGCATAAATCTTGTTGATTGGAGTGTTGGCAGCCATTTCAATCTGAAAATGATAAACAGATTAGAGTATTTGATCAAAAATGTGCCAAGTCCACAACTTATTTCTCACTTGGGCCCTTTAATGTTTTTGTTTTGTTTTTTTTTTGTTTTTTTTTTAAAAGTGGGGCCCAATTTAAGAATGGTTATTGGTCTTGGTCAGAGCTGGGCTTGGACTTGGTTTATTTTGGCCCATATGGAGATTTCCACTAAGGGTTTGGAACTGGGCTGTCTCGGTTTCACTTAATAGCGCAGCCCAAAGGATTGGGCAGGTCTATGGATCACGCAGGGGGTTTAGATCGCGCAGGGGGTGATCGCGCAAGCCCGGAGGATCGAGCAAGGGGGAAATCGCGCAGCCCTTTCTGATCGCGCAAGTGCCCCATATCGAGCAAGGGGGTTCCAATCGCGCAGGTATGCCAGATCGCGCAAGTCATGACTTCGCGCAAGTCTGACAAATCGCGCAATCGGCAAATCTCGCAACCCAGCAGATGGAGCAACCCTCAGATCTTGCAGAGAACGAAATAGCTCAAGAGCTAAATGGCGCAATCCCTGTTCGCGCAAGTAGTCGAACCGCGCAACCCCAGTTCATGCAGGAAGGGTTTCGCGCAAGTCTGTAATAGCGCACCCTCGGATACCTGTTCATCGTCTTTGTGGAATACCTGTGAAACACTTCATGATAGCAAGAAGGGATGGAGCTTTTACCAATGGATGAGCGAAAACGAGAGAGAGGGAGACGAGAGCTCCGAGGGAGTGCAAGCGTTTCGCGCAAAGAAGAATGGGGGGAGAGTTGGCGTTCTTTGAGTTTAAATAGGCCCTGGAGATTTTTCAAAGTGTAACGGGCCCAAATCAGTCAGATTTCAAATTAAAAATACTACCCCTCAACACTTGCTTCCCTTTAAGAATGAAAATTTTGGCAAACTCCCCCTCAATTTATGAACAGTTTAGAAAAGCTCACCCTCGATTAATGCATTGATAAAAAATGATGCATGAAAGAAAAATGAGATGCATGATGAAGAAAAAAAATAAAAATGCAAATTTTGAAAAATGTTTAAAGTGAATGAAGAATATGAAAGCACACGCACACACCCAGTTCAGATGTTACTTAGTCGTTCAGGTTCAGCATCCCCAGCTTAGAGATCAGAAAATTGAATCTCTTTTCATCCAGGGCCTTTGTGAAGATATCAGCCAGTTGCAATTTCGTAGACACAAAGTACATGTCCACGGTGCCTTTCTCAACATGATCCTTGATAAAATGATATCTGAGGTCAATATGCTTCGTCCGGGAATGATGGACAGGATTGCACGTGATGGCTATTGCACTCTGAGAGTCGCTGTAGATCGGGATGTGTGAGAATGTGAACCCGTAGTCTTTCAGCTGGGTCCTCATCCATAATATCTGTGAGCAACAACTAGCAGCCGCGACATATTCTGCCTCAGCTGTAGAAGTAGACACACAATTCTGCTTTTTGGAGGACCAGCATACCAACTTATCACCAAGAAATTGAGCACCGCCAGATGTACTCTTTCTGTCCAGTTTGCAACCCGCGAAATCAGCATCTGAGTATCCAACAAGGTAAAAGCCTGATTCCTTGGGATACCAAAGGCCCAGATTGACTGTTCCTTTGAGATATCTCAATATTCTTCCAACAGCATTCAGATGTGATTCCTTCGGATTTGCTTGAAAGCGGGCACATAGGCAGGTTGCAAAGACAATATCTGGTCTGCTAGATGTGAGGTACAGCAAGGACCCGATGATAGCCCGATAATTTGTAGCATCGACTGGTTTCCCGGAAGGGTCAGAGTCAAGCTTTTGTGAGGGAGACATAGGGGTTTTCATCGTTGACTTGTTGTCCATTTTGAAGCGCTTGAGCATATCGTGGATGTACTTGGACTGATTGATGAATATTCTGTCTGGAATTTGCTTGATCTGAAGCCCTAGAAAGAAGTTCAACTCTCCCATCATACTCATCTCGAACTTGGTGTGCATCAGGTTGCTGAACTTTTTACAGAAATTTGGATTCGACGAGGCAAAGATGATGTCGTCAACATAAATTTGTATCAGCATGATGTCACCCTTGTGCCTTTTGATGAAGAGAGTTAGATCTATCTTTCCCTTCGAGAAGCCTGATTCAACAAGAAAATCTGACAATGCTTCATACCAAGCTCTCGGTGCCTGTTTCAGACCATACAGGGCTTTTCTCAGCTTATATACATGATTGGGGCGTTCAGGATCACCAAAGCCGTCAGGTTGTGCGACATAGACTTCTTCTTTCAGATCTCCATTCAGAAATGTCGTCTTTACATCCATCTGATACACTGTGAAACTCTTGTGTGCGGCATATGCCAGAAACAGTCTGATGGCCTCAATCCTCGCCACTGGTGCAAATGTCTCATCATAGTCAATTCCTTCTTGTTGATTGTAACCTTTTGCAACCAGGCGGGCCTTGTTTCTTACGATCACACCTTCTTCGTCTTTCTTATTCTTGAAGACCCATTTGGTGCCGATTATGGTTTTCTTGTACGGCCTTGGCACCAGGGTCCACACTTTCAATCTTTCAAACTGGTTCATTTCTTCTTGCATCGCAATCACCCAGTCCGGATCAGCCAATGCTTCAGTCATCTTTGAAGGTTCTTTCTGACTTAGAAAACATGAAAATAAGCATTCATTGATTGATGTCGTTCTGGTTCTGACTCCCTATGATGGATCTCCAATTATCAGCTCTGGCGGATGTGCTCTCGTCCACTTTCTCTCATGCTGTAGAGGCAGTGGAGTTATGATTGGATGATCAGGGTCAGAATATTCTTGCTCTGGTTGTGCTTCTGGGGTTTCTTGCGTTGCAGCTTCTTCAGGTTGATCATTAACAGGAGTGGTTGGTTCATGTTCAGCTTCATTTTCTGTGTGCTCATCATCATTCTGAGTAGGAGTGTTGGTTTCTTCAGCATTTGGAGCAGGTAACAGGGGGATCTGAGAGGTTGTAGCATTTGTAGTTGGTGATGCATGTGGTTGGCTGTAGAAGTGCTCGAATAGAGAGTCCAGAATCACGTGCTCATCCGATCTTGTCACACCTCCCTGTCCTCCTACTCCAGAAGATGATGGAGTTTCATTGTTTGCAGAGGTTAATGGTTCAGTATGAAAATGTTCAGAAGCCAAATCCGCCATTTCATAGAAGCTCACATTGATGCTCTCCATGACGGTTCTTCTGTCTTTCAAGTATACTCTGTACGCCTTAGAATTGGTAGAATACCCAATGAATATCCCTTCATTTGCCTTTGGATCAAGCTTCCCCCTAGCATCCCTGTCATTCATAATGTAGCATTTACAGCCGAAGACGCGGAAGAAGGCAATGTTAGGGAGTCGCTTGAACACAATCTCATAGGGCATCTTGTCAAATCTTTTGTGGATCACCGTCCTGTTCTGTGTAAAGCAAGCCGTGTTGATTGCGTCTGCCCACATGAAGTGAGGAAGCTTTGACTGTATCAGCATTGTTCTGGCTGCTTCCAACAAGATCCTGTTCCGTCTTTCTACAAAACCGTTCTGCTGTGGTGTCTTAGCTGCAGAGAACTGTTGTGTAATCCCCTGAACTTCGTAGAATTCGGTCAGTTCCTCATTTTTGAACTCCGTCCCATTGTCAGTTCTGATGATCTTCACATTCTGCTGTAGATAGTTCTGCATGGTCCTGATGAACGTCATGATTAAATTTGCAGTTTCGTCCTTGGAGCGCAAAAACTTGGTCCATGTGTAGCGTAGTAGTCATCCACAATTACCAAAGTATATTTGCGTCCACTGATGCTATGTACGCGCATCGGACCACACAGATCCATATGTAGTAGCTCCAGGGGTCGAGATGAGGAGGGAAATTGTTTTGACTTGTGTGAAGCTCTCCTCATCTTTCCCAAATGACAGGCAGAACAATGATGGTTGGGGGAGTTCTTCAGAACAGGCAGTCCTTTCACCAACTTCTTTGAGGAGAGGGAACGGATAGCCGGCAGATTCAAGTGTGAGAGACGTTTGTGCCATAGATTGCTTTGCTCTTCAGATGCTTTGGACAGGAGACAGATGGATATGGGGGATCGTACCGATTTGAGATCAATGGTGTAGAGATTGGTTTTCCTCTGACACTTTAATAATGGTGTCCCACCCATATCCATCACACAACATTGCCTAGCATGGAATCTCACTTCCATTCCATTGTCACAAAATTGGTCGATGCTAAGCAAGTTGTGCTTCAGTCCCTGCACATACGATATGTTCCTGATTGTGACGCTCTCACAGATGACATCTCCTATCCCAAGTATGGGCGATGAAGCATTGTTCCCAAACCTCACATTTCCTCCAAACCTTTCAGAATAGTTGCTCAGTAGTTCAATCTGTCACGTCATGTGTGACGAGCAACCCGAATCAAGATGCCACACATGATTGACCTACACAACAGATTAGTTTCGCTTAGGTACCCATCGCCAGATGGGTCCTCCCTTATCAACAGTGAGCAATTGTTTCAACTTCTTTTTGATTTGGGATCCTAGGCTAGCAGGTTGAGAAGAATTTTTCATTTTTAATTGTTCTACTTCAGCCTTAGGAACCCATTTTTGTTTGATTTGTTTGATTTTTGGAGCGAGGGAACTTTCATTAGTCCTGAGTGATTGTTCAGATAAATTGTCTTTCAAGATGGGTTCACGTGATAGCCTTCTCAGATGTTTGACTGAGTGAATCTTGAGAGGATACCTTAAAAATGGCAATTTGACCTCACTCTCAACATTCACCCTATCAAACTTGGGCTTTTTCACAACATTATCAACAATCATAGGTTAACTTGTACTGCATGAAGGATCAGACTCAAAACAACAACTTTTCATTGATTTAATGCAATTCAGAGAGGTACAACTAGTGCAGCGATTCGAGACAGAAATCTTAGAACTAGAAGACTTAGGAGTCGCTCTTCTAGTATAACTAGTAGAAGGCTCACTAATGCTAGAACTAGGGCAAGTGTTCAGATTTATCTTCTGCTTGTAGTACTCAGGGTCTTTCCTCCTCTTAGGCATCCTGCAGTCCTTCATCAGATGTCCAGTCTTCCCACAGTTGAAGCACTTTGGAGCATCCTCAGCAATTCCATTTTCAGAAGATTCAAAAGAGCGTTCTTTCCTCTTGTTGTTGCTGGTTGAAGTTTTGCGGAGCCTGTTGTTTGAGGAGTTCTTCTTTTTCTGCATCTGATTGTTGAACCTTGAGGTAAGAAGGGCAATCTGCTTTTGGAAATCACGCAGCTCATCATCATCAGAATCATCCCAGAAGCATATGTCACTGTCAGCATTTTCACTTTCTTCAGCTATCATCTTATCCTTCTTGGAACCAGACTTTGAGGGTTTGTCAAGCATTAGGGCAAGTGTGTCAGCAAGTTTGTCCACGACTCCCTTGCCTTTGTCATCCGTCACAGTGGCTACCACAAAGTCAGAAAAATCTTCAGCATACTGGTCAAGTGTATTGTACACGGCATGGATGTCCATCTCATCAAGATCTTTAGTGTGCCTTATCTGTGAACTCAGCTTCTTCCAGTCAGCTCCAAGTGAAGACAGAAATCTCACATTCAGCTCCATGTTCGATTTGTGCACGCCAATCTTCCTCATCTCATTGATCAACTGCAAGAATCTGAGATAGGTATCTTCAAGTGATTCTCCATGCTTGGCTTTGAAAGAGTCATATGCTGTGAAGGTGTTGGCTTTCTTCGCTTTCACACCAATCTCCGTTCCTTGCATAATCTTGAAGATTTCATCTCACATCTCCTTTGCAGTTGACATGCTGTCAATCTGCATGTAGATGTCGTTCGGGATGGCCTGCAACAGATAAGTCTTAGCAAGCAAATCAGCTCGGATTCTGGCTCGGTCCTCATCATCGTATTCATCAACTGTCTTGGGTCTCCATTCTATCTCAACCGGTGGATTGTTCCCATTGTCTCTTTCAACAGCAATGAGTAGCTGGGCAGGGCCATTAGTGATGGAGTCAAGCAGGCCTGAAGATTGGTCCTTGCTCTCAAGAAAATTAAGGAATCTGTTCTTCCAAACATTATACTCTCCTCTTCGTAGAATCGGGGGTCTCGTGTCGTTTCCAATCGACAAAGCATCCATTTTAAATGATCGGGCTGATCAGTTGATTGATTGAGTTCTGTTTTGTTGTTTGGTACTTCAGGCAGTAGGTCTTTGCAAGTATGGAATCGCGCAAGTGTTGAAAGATCGCTCAACTTTTAGGATCGCTCAACTTCACAAAAGATCGCTCAACTTTACAAAGATCGCTCAACTTTACAAAGATCGCTCAACTTTACAAAAGATCGCTCAACTTTACAAGAGATCGCTCAACTTTTACAAAGATCGCTCAACTCTCAAAAGATCGCTCAACTTGCTAAAAAATCGCTCAACTTCTAAAAAGATCGCTCAACAAAAAAAAATCGCTCAAGATTTTGGAGTTGGCCCAAGTTCCAGATCGCGCAAAATGAGGATCGCGCAGGAGCTGTTGTTGCGCAAAGTATGAGATCGCGCAAAAGGCAGGTTGCGCAAAACACGAAATCACGCAGAAGTCTTGCTCGTCCTGTAAAAAGATGGCGCAAGTCCAAGATTGCGCAGGAAGAGTTGCGCGAAGCTCGAGATCGCGCAGGAGGCGTTGCGCGAACCTGTTCTCCTTTTCAGACGAGTTGCGCGAAAGATCAGTATCGCTCAACTTCAGCTTAACCTGTACGCCAACTTTCTGGGTGTGATTTTTCACAGAGTCCTTGCAAGCCTAGAAACACTTTCCTGTAAACATTTTCCTGCAAAAATATCAACAAAAACAGAACAGAAGATCGCTCAAGTGCAAAATCTTCGCCGATGAAGAATCGCGCAAGAGCTTTTTCAGCCTCCAATCAATCGATCAGCTCCGGCTCTGATACCAGATGTTAGGTCCCTGTTTTCTAGTCTAAAATGTATATGTATGGAAGACAGATCTGGGAATGAAGCTTTCCATTGATGGTGAAGGTTTTACAGAATGATGTGAAAACTTAGCGTAAAAACCTTACACGCAAATAGGCACTGCGGCACAGAAAATGTATTGAAAAGCTTAACCTACTCATTCCCTTAAGGCATATTTATAGCCTTCAGGGAAAGGTAGGTTTCACAATGATTGGGCTCTAACATTTAGGAGGCCCATTCCATTTTAGGCAAGAGAGTCTTTTCTAAATAAGGCCTATTCTATCAATAAATAAACTATTACAAAATGGCTAAGTAACATTGATCACAATATAAATGAAAATATCTCTAACAAAAATACATCACAATTCATAACTTTCTATTATCTTTCATATGACACCAATATTGCATATATAGAAATATATAAAAAAAAATCACTTTAAAAATACTCCGGGGTATCTATTTTTAAAGTGCTACTCCCTCCGTCTCATTTAAGGGTTCCCGTCCACTATTCTCTGGTCAACGTGCATTGTTCTTAATCTTTTACTTTATATATCTAACTTTTATCAAGTTTAATTTTTCTTGATCAGGTATTATAAAACTTCTAATGTAGTTTCTGAATATGTAAATTTTATTTACTAAAAATAATTTTATTCATGACAGGGAACAGTTAACTTTGTGGTCAATCAACATCTTAAACCGCGTGGGAACCTTAAAGTGGGACGGAGGGAGTATAACTTTTTTATTTGTACTCTGATTGTTTTCTCCTGGCTGGTTTTCTCCTCTGGCTTACGTTGCACTTGCTACGTCGCTCGCCCGTTGTTTTTTTGCCTAACCACCAATTCAATCGACGGTTCTTTTAACTATATGGTTCAGCTTAACAATATTTTGGGAAATACTTATAACTCGAACTCACTTTAGTAAATAATTTTTTACTTTGCATTATATTGGGAAAGCACTCGATTATTTGTCCACCCTTTCATTTTTAGAAGTTCTTCCTATAAAAGTGCCTAAATTGGATACATACTCATGGAGACAAGACAGATCCATATGAGAACTCGTCGGAGGGCGGCGGCGACATTAGAGAACACGGCGATGGTTGACGGAGACTTGTTTGAGAGCGGCGCCGAATTAGGCGATGCCAACAGCTGGTAGCGATGGCGGCGGCACAGCAGATGGTGGCAGCCCGGCACCAAATTTGGTGTGGTAGTATGTAAACTGCATTTGTGTAAAGTAATGTCTTTTTTTTATATTTTTGTATTTTTTTATACCCCGTATTAGTTAATAAATAAACTAGACTTTCATTAAAGGTACTTTTGTCTACTCATTTATGTTTACTCCTACACAACATTAAGGTCTTATTTTTACACTTTTGTCATGTTTTATCCTAGATAGGTATTTACTTCTATAAAATAACCAATTGATTACTAACACCGTTCAATTTGTCAGATATATTTTTATTGATTTTTGTTTCAATCACACCTGGAAACAATGTTAGATTGAGAGTAGATGTTGGCAAATATATGGTGTCATTGCTTATATGTATTGGCCTTTTAAAAAAACTAGTGTCGTTCTCTAAAATTTCAATTTATATTTGTATAAACATATAATACATGCATGCATGCATGCATATATACGTACATACATAGATACACACATAGAGAAATATACAGAAATGCTCAGGTCCAACTGTTCAGATAGGAGTCGCCGTTCGAATGCCGCCGTTTGGGGCGGTTCCCACTGGGATTTTTTGATAAGATGTTTTGAACATGTTCCTCATCAAGTCTAGTTTATCCACAAAAAATTTCAGCTCAACATTTGATTGGGAAGGCAGTCTAATAATTTTTTGAAGTTGACTACGTTTTCTATGTATAATTTGACGAAGTTAACTTTCATTTGACTACCTTCTCGATCGGATTTTGAGCTTAAAGTTTTTGTGGATAAACTAGACTTGATGAGAAACATGCTAAAAAAACTCATCAAAAATTTCCACCAGAATTCGCTCCAAATGGTGGCGTTCGGACGGCGGATTATGTCCATCCTACTAGGCATGATCATTCCTTTGTGTGTGTGTGTATAACTCTTTTCAGTTGTGTCAATTCACACCACAGTTTTATGCCTGGCACCACCCCTGGATTTACCCTATGATCAGGAAGTGCATGGACACCAACACTGGGGTGACCCAAAACAAAAACATTTGTCCCATCCAGTATGGTATTCTATATTTTTATTTTTCCTGTAACATCAAGAAGATATCTTCAAACCAGAACAAGTTATTTTCATTATTTGATAAAAGCTTATGAACTCCACCATGATGTCATAGTTGGTATCATGCATGTTTCAAGGATAAAGGGGGGTGTTGTGGCATGCGCGTGACGGCCAACAATATCACTTTGTCACATCACATGTCATGAATCGAACAGTGAGTATCGCTACATCTGGATCGTGGCCCGTGAGCAAAACGTAATCCCTCTGCCTAGGGGTGGTGTCAAATATGCAAAGGCGTGCTACACTTCATAGGCCTCCGTATGGTGATAATAACGCTAAGGTTGCTAGGTCATGTCGTCCGAAAGTCGGATTTTTGGTAGATCGGGTTCGGTCTGGGTTCGGGTTGGGCCAGTTAAAGCCCGAATGTGAAATCATATCATTGTCTTTTCTATATTTTAAAACCTGTTTTTAAATAAAATTAATCAAAAACACAAATCGCAAATGATAACACAAATATTAGTCCTTAAAATCACCAACAATTCAAATCCAAAGAAAATAATTATCTTAATATTTTGTTTAGGATGCATATAAATAAATAATATAGGTTTTCTAATAGTATTACGAGACAAAACTTATGGATAAAAAAGTGACTAAAGTTACTATAAATATATTTCCATGATCATTATGATAAACAAATTGAACTTATTTTTAGTCACTAAAAGTTACTAGGTCACGTTTTCATCCACCATGATTATAATCATATATTAGGAATTATTTATATATTATATTTGTATATTATATTGATATTTATTTTATATTTTTTTTATGATATTTATTTTATATTAAAACTAATTGTTTCGGGTTTTTATCGGTCCAGGCCGGATTATAGATTTTAGGGCCCGCTCATGAGCCCGAATTTTTGGGTCCGGTCCGGGTTTTTTTATTCGATCCGATTAAATAGAAAAAACCCGGACCAGAAATATCATTTGGGACGGGCTAGGGTCGGTTTCTGGGTTTTGGTTTGGTTTTTCCCACCCCTATTCGGAGGGGAGAAGAATAGAAATGGAGTAGGCATTATTGTGGAGCATGCTTATGTTGAGTGTAATGGAAGCCTTTAGAAAGAACATCGCATCATGAGCATTAAATTGGCAATAGGAGATCAGATCATGTTCGTGGTAAGTGCATATACACCAGAAGTGGGATTAACCATCTATCACTCAACAACTTTGGGAGTATCTTGAGAAAGTAGTGTGACGGGTGTCAAGGGAAGAGAAGCAGGTCATAGGAGGTCACCTCAACATGCATGTGGGGCCAACTCGTGATGGATTTGGGAGTATCCATGACAGACATGATTTTGGCATTAGAAATGAATCATGGAAGAACATTCTGAATTTTCTCGACATATGAGTTAACTGTAATGAACATTTGGTTCAAGAAAAGAGAATCTCACCTTATGACCTATAGAAGTGGAGCTAATAGTACTCAAATTGGCTACTTATTTGTACGGAAGACTTGGAAAACTAGCTTGTAAAAGTTATAACAAGTGAAAGTGTCGTTACTCAACATATTTTGCTTGTTTTCAAGGCAAGAAGAGAAGATACGTTAAGCGACAGGTGGAGCTAAAAATAAAGTAATGAAGGATCAAGGATATGGGGGGACTCTAACAAAGCTTTTCACACCAAATATTGAAATAGATGTACGGTGTATTGATGAAATTTTGCACACAAAATATATCTTACTTATTGATAATGACACCCATGTGGATGAATTGCCAATTGTGTATTAAATTATTATCAAGTGACTCGGTGACTCCTATTTTAGAGTTATGTCTTTTGTAGTTGCCTAAAATAGACGAAGTACTATGTAATTTTATCAATGTAGTTTATTAATTGAGGAAGTCCTAAACAGAACTAAATGAAATTTAATTTCAAGAATATGAGTATAACTTTAATTTTTTTTAAATAGAACTACCTTTTCAATCATGTCCTTGCTTTGTTTTAATAAATTCGACCATTAACTGGTGAAGGAGATACTCAGAGAATCTAAGGGCACATCTTGCTGGAATGATGAGGTGAAACAAGAAATAAGGACAAAAACGGAATGTTACAAAAAGTTGGACAAAAGTTAGAGCGATGAGAACATAGAGTACAAAGAGGCTAAAAGAAAAGCAACGAAAATCGTAAAAGAAACAAGAGGTAAAGTGCACAAGGAGTTGTATGTAAAACTACACTCCAAAGGAGGAAAAGATATTCACAAACTTGTTCGTCTTCGTGATTGTACGACCCAAGATATTAGTGCGCGAAGTTGTCGATCAAAGAGTACTAATAAATGACAAGTAAATAAAAGAGAGGTTAATGTCATACTTTGATTAGTGATGGACTCGGGTCGGGCCACCCGGCCCGGAACCAGCCCAGAACCGGTATTGTTTGGGCTCGGCCCGGCCCAGAACCCGGTCATAAGACCGGTTCGGGCCCCGAACCGGGATTAAAAGGGGGTGGGCTCGGGCGGTCGGGCCTCCTCAAAGTGGAACTGGCCCGGGCCTATTTCTTTTTTTTTTCAATTCTTTTGGTTTCTCCCGGGTTGGGGTAGGTGTTTGGCGGGGGGGGGGGGGGGGTGGGAAGGGGGGGGGTCGGGGTTAATTAGAAAAGCTAAAGAAAATATAAAAAAAAAACATGAACCAAACCGGACCGGCCCGGAACCGCTGCCTACCCGGGCCGGTTCCGGTTCTCCCTTCCCGAAAAAAAGCCCGGCCGGGCGCAGGCTCAAACCGGCCCGGCCCGGCCCAGGTCCATCACTAACTTTGATACCTTGTTCAAAGGAAATAAAGTGCAACGTATTGATGATTTAAACGACAAATGGGTATAATTATATACATAATGGTTGACATTTCATCAAGTACTACATATGAAGTGATATGATACGTGTGAGAATATTTCCAGGGAGTCAAGTAATATAAATGTGAACGAAAGATGTACCAAAATATTACGGAGTACATAATTATGGGGTGAGGTTCCAAAATATTCCAGCTCCTGTAGTTAATGTACCAATTTATCTAATTTATTTACCCCTAATTACATTACACTATAAACCCAGATACTTACGGTAGATCTAAAACTAGCTCCCTTAGCTGTTCATCTCAGGTGGCTGGCCTTTAAAGGATGTGACAGCAAAGAACCATAAGGAGACAAACCACATTCTCTAACAGAAACTACTTCCCTTCTCCTTTTCTTCTTCATACAACCTTTCATGAGTGAAGCAGCCACTGATGGCATGTTTGTCTTTACTGAACAAGCTTGTTTTCCTTCTGGGTCCCCTACAAAGTGCTTTCGGTACTGATCTTTACAGGAAATCTTATCAGATAATCTCTGTTGGGCACAAGGATTGGAACAATAATTGTCTGCAAATCAAATATGTATTTCACTGTCACAATAAAATTTTACTAAAATTAAATTTTACCAAAATGTAGTTGATATACTATTGTTTTCAATAAGTCAATAGAAGTAATGTTGCCGCCTCCTAAAAACTCCTAAAAATTGTCATGTTTCAAATCTTTCTTTTTTGTCCAAAACGGACTCTTATTAAACAAAATGCAGCTAACTTTTCATGTTAGTGTCTGGAAAAAGTTCCAAACAAGTTCAATATGATAAGTTTAGTTAAACCAAAATCTACACTCGAAAAACATAGATAGGGTTAAATCCTTCAAGAATTGTACCTCTCTAATACGGAATATTAGAATTCAACCATCATAGAATCCAACCATCACAGTAAAATTTCTATATCTGGCTAACTAAACTGATAAGTAAAAAAGTTTGCTTGCCAAATGAGCACTAGTAAACCAATCACAAAAAGGCACATATTCTTACACAAGTATATTTACCAGTTATGACTTCTCCATGTTGGCTTGGAGATCTTGACGGACTTGTAGTAATCGCATCTGCAAGCCGTCCAGTTATCCCAAACTCCCTTTTGTTATTGTTATCTTTGAAAACCAAACGATTAGGCCTCTTCTTTTCAGTATCGGCAGAAGAGATATCTGAAGAATTGCACACGTTTTCCTTTCCTTGTTCTTCACTTGTATCAACCCCACTATGTATTGAGCCACTTTCCATAATGGGAGATGGATTAGAAATCGGATCAACATTGTGAAACAGCAGGTTAGAAGAAAAACTGCTTGGTGTGGGCTGTTTTGTTTCAATGAAATGTGAGAACCAGGGAGTGTCCTGTCTCACATAGAAGAGGACATATGCTGCCTGAGACATGACTAAATCTTCTTGGACCTGAATAACCTAGAAAGACGAAACACATAAATTCAGATCTTATTCTTTATTTTCAGATTTAAATGCTAAAACAGTTGAGAAAATAACTGTTTGGAAATCTTGTTTTAGTTTGGTACGATCAAGGTTGTCAAATGCGCTCGCCCCAGCGCTGAAGCGCACAAGGCGCAGCGAGCAAACCCTCCAGCGCCTAAAAATATGTGAAGCGCACGATCCTGGGTAAGGCGCAGTATAGGCGCAGGAAGCGCATCAAGCGCTGAAGCGCTATAAGCGCACGCTTGGGTCGCCTGAGCCGGAAAAGGTTGATAGCCTTTTTTTGTTTAAAACTTTCAAATACAATTAGCCCATATCTTTAATTAACACTAAGCCCATGAAAATATTTGGGTAAAAACAGTAAAACTAAGTCTAAGTGCGTAGACACGTAAAACTTGCGCAAGTCACTACTGCTATCATCGCTAGCCATCCTCGCTCTTCATTCTCCTCACTCGACACTGAAGCTACTCTACACCAGCCAGTTCTTTAAGCTTTCAGCACCATCTCAAGCAAACTCAGCTCTCCCTCGCAGCACTAAACAAGGTATGTCTTCTTTTTCATGCACATACTCATATTACACTAGTGTCTAAATATTAGCGTAAATGTGTAATGAAGTAATAATACTACGTATTAGTATATTAGTATGTATATAACTCATAATACTTAAATATATGTACTCTGCTTTGTGGTTTTGTAAAGATATTACTCTGTAATCTTTCAGAGTATAACTCTTGTGTTTTATAAAGATTACTTTAAGTGTGTTGTCTTAACTTTAAATATATTACTCAGTTCTGTCACTCTTGTGTTTTATAAAGATTAAAGATATTATTCTGTTAGACCCAACTAAAGTAAAACATGGATGTTAACAAAGGGCTGAGTATAACATGTTTTTCAGAGTTGATATCCACCTTTTACAACACACAAGATGACAAACACAAATGGAAAACTAAAAGAACATGATAAACACACAACCAGCTTTGTGTTTTTCTATTATTGAGCAGCCATATTTGAGTGTTTGGCCCATAAATATATTATATATGTACTCTACTTTGTGGTTTTCCAAAGATGTTTTCCAGTGTATTAAATAATTCAAGCTTTATGCTTTTCCAGGATATGAAAGGTGGAACATGTGCTGCAGGTGGTGCTGAAAGTGAAAACTCTACAAAAAAAAATGACGTATTAAAGCCATGAATTCTGAATTTGGAGTTTTATTTTTATGAATCAAGACTTTATTTTGGTAAATCCTAGGTTTTTTATGCATTTGGTTCGATATGATGTTACATACATCATATTTGGTTATTATAGAATTGTATATGTGATTTTATCTAAGTAATGCGCTTCACCCGAGTCAGGCGAGCGCTTTTTTGCACTTGTGCTGGAAGGCCCCTAGCGCTTCAGGTGCACCTTTCGACTTTGACTACCTTGGGTACGATTATTAATAAAGTGATTGAAAAGTAAAAGTTGTGGTTGAGATTTGTGTAGAATAAAGTGAAATGATATGGAACACATATATCTTGCCAAAAAAGGAAACATGACATTCATTTTGGAACAACTCAAAAAGGAAAGTAAGACCATCAAAATGGGACGAAGGGAGTACCAGTTATCACTCATAAACCAAGAATAATACATACTAAGGAAATAATATTCAATAATACCAACTATTTGAATATATAACAAAAGTGAAGACTTATTTCAACTAGAAATTCAATCCTTTAACTCATTAAAGACTAATATCAAATTTCAATTGACCACATTTCGAGAAAACCTTTACTTGATGGTTTAATATCAGTTTTTGGTGTCTTAAATGACAAGATTTCTAGTCGGAAAGTGACTTCATATTATTCTTGTTACATGTTCAAATAGTTGATATTATTAAAAATCTTTTACAAAGTACACATTATTGTTGGTTTATGGGTGTTAATTGATATTATTTAAAATATTTTCCTAAAACACTTTGGCTATCTTTAGAACATGGAAATTGGTAGGAAGTAAACCGTAAGGAAAAATAGTTTTTCGCCTTTTCTTTTTTTGCTTGAACTTGGAGAACACAAAGGAAAATCAAATCTATTTTAAAGTTCACACATATTCAACCTTAGTCTTAACATAATAGACATACTACCAGGGGCGGCTCCAGTCGTTTGGAGGCCCAAGGCGGAAAAACATCTCAAAAACTTCAACAAACATATATTACAATTATAAAAGACAATGATATACAAGATAAAATACAGTTTTTAAATGTAACATACGTGAAATGTACTACAAAGTGTATTTACTATTCCAGTTTTTACTAACACTAAATGTAACAGCATATTTGACAATTAACGTAGTTATAAAAATAATAGTACAGATAATAACTCAAACACCTCGATAACTACTTAGTCCCCACTAGTCCAGTATTTACTAACACTTTATTAAATACCACTAATAAAAACTACTCCGTATTACAAACTATAGCTACTTAACTAGCAGTAGAAACTAGAAAGTACGAAACTAAGTCTAGAAAGGCACTAAAGAAGAAACTAAAAAGCTATAAAAAATAAAGAGACAAAGAGTCAAGACAATTAGACAAATTACAAGAGTCTACAGATGACTAAAGTCTCAAGAAAAGATTAGTTTACACAATTGAGTCATACGGTCATTAGGTATTTATTTAGGTCATACCTGATAGAGTGATGAATCAACGAGTTAGAAATTAAAAATTCGAACTACAGAGACCGGAGTCTGAAGAATTTGGAGGCCTGCCGGAGCAAGAGTGCAAGCCTGCAAGGCAATCGGAAATCCCCAAATCAGGGATTAGGCTGGTCAGTGGTAAGGGCGGTTGCTGGCGGCTAGACTACTGGAGGCTTCGAGCTGCTGAATTCGGAGCGGGTGAGCGCGAGCGGCGAAATCTGCTTCTGGCTTGTGGCGTTCTCAGATGAGTAATTAGATATCCAATTTCAATTATTGTATTAAAATATTAATTTTAATAATAGTAGTAATAGTTTTTTTTTGGAGGCCCCCCAGATTTTAGAGGCCCTAGGCACAAGCCTGGCCCAACTGGCCATAAGGCCGGCTCTGCATACTACCTCAATCCCGGTGGACTTCGCCAAGTGCAAAGTCGGTGAGAAATAAGAAAAGTAAAAACTGTGTGGTTGAGATTTGTGCAGAGGAAAGAGAAATGTGCAGGATGACAAAATAGTTGCTTTAATTGGAAAGTGGCAAAGTTTTTTGGGACAAACAAAAAGGGAAAGTTGGCAAAGTCCAATGGAACGGAGGGAGTATTTAATATTGCGTTTAAACTAACATATACATTAATTTAACTTTTTTCTCCGAATTATTCTTTACACCATATGTCTGCTCTACATTCCTCCATATTTTCTTCGCTGAGCATTTCCCAAGTTCCAAACGAAACCTTAAGGTCAAATGTTTGATAGGTAAGGTACCTTTGAATCATCGAACATGTACCATTCATTGGGAGAAGCATGAATAAAGCAGTAGTAGTGCCCAGAATGCAACGACAGCCCAATATGCACCAAAACTGCAACAAGATTGTATTTTGATTCGGCCTAATTAAGAAAAGAGTCAATTAGATCTTCATACGGACCTTGACCCGATGGTATTAATTAGAATCAGGGTATCAATAAGGGAAATGTATGAGCAACCAATCAAAAATCCAATCAGTATAAGCCTAGGGATTGCTAAGACCATCATGGGTTCATTAATACTTCCTATGTCCCATAAATAAAGTCTGAGTTTGACTTTTAAGTCAAACTTCTTAAATATTGACCAATAATTACTCAAAATTAACAATAATTTATCAAATGAGATTAATTTTATGTGCTTCATTGTAATATGTTTTATTCAAATGTTAATTTATCATAGATTATAGATTATAGATTATATAGGTATATATTTATAGATAATTATGGATAAATGTCCACCTAGGAGACCGTAAAGTCAAACTGGGACTTTAATTGTGGGATGAAGGAGTGATATATATCTTACCTTATTTAAATATTTTGAGATTATAAATAAGGCTGCTTTTAGCAAACAGGGTATCAAGGGATTAGGAGAATCCCACTCTTTTAGCGTTAGGTAGCCTTGGGATGTTGGGCGAGTTAGTTTTGCTGGGAAATACCTTTGAGTATTTCATATTTTTTTCATTCTTCTTCTACATGTTTGTTTCTACATTTTTTATTTCAATTTTTTTATTTTTACATCTATTTTTTTTATTTTTTGTCCCCTTGCCGCTTTAATCTCTATCAGATCTAATTATATGTGCTACTACTGCTAAACCAAATGGAAGGGTCAGACCTCTGTATACTTGGAACAATCATTAAAGTTAAGAACCAATCCATCTAGAATGGAGCTTTGCAAGGCCAAAGGAATGGATAGTTTATCTCTCAATTGAACATCCAAAAGGTTAAAACTGTTAATTTAGGACCTCAATGAAAGAAACTATAAATCTAAGACTCAAATCCCACAAATCTTAGTTCTTTTCATTTTTTGAATTATTTTAAACAAATTGTTTACTAATTCCGTCTGCGGAGGAATTTTCATAAAGAATAAAAAACATCAAAGCTCATAATCTTTTTAGTCTGATTGATAATTTTAATAATTCAAGCGCTAATTTCATAGGTTTCATCCATAAAACTCCATAATGAATTAAAAATATAAATGTCAAAGCATGTATGGGGAATAAGTGAAGAAACTCACTCACAGGTTTCTTTTGTCTATCCACATAAGGAAGCAAGTCCAGTTCGAGCGGGAACATTATGTGTTTGTCGATCTTCTCAACACGAAAACCATCATTTTTGAATCTCTTCAGGTGAAAGGTGGCAACTAAAGGGGTCTCATCCAACAAAAGCTGCTTCTCAATCAACACTTGTAACTTACATTTTTCACACGTGAACTTTGTCATGGGATCTTCAATCTTTTCGATTTTTGTGAAAGAATCCAAAGCCATAGGTAGGCTGTCCACATCACGTATCTCTAAACTCATGTCAACCAGTGGTTCATGGGTTTTAGAACAATGGCCACAATTGAAACACTGCAACTGCAATTATAGAACTGTTTTACTCATTGTTTTATTTTAGAAGAAAGTTAATACCCATTTTGGCCCCCAATTACATACTATTAATCAAGGTTCGAAATTGTTTATTCCGTAGTCGTGGCGTTTATTTAGGATAGCATATTGCACAATGAGGCGTAAAAATGCATGTGTGTGTATGCATAGATATAAATAGAATAAAAGTTAAAGAAAGTTAATATTAACAGAAAACTAAAAAAAAATAAGATCATATACAGAGTAAGCTAAAACAAAATCTATGATGCATTAAAAACATGCAAAGATATCATTCATCGAGATTATTTAAAGGGGATATATATAATACAGATCATACTATTTCTCAAGTAAAAACTAAAGAAACCTTAGTTGCATCGAGAAGCCTGATACCGCCTTCTTTGCATTGAGAAGGCTAGAAAAGGAAATCAGAGGAAGAATTGAGTACCATAGAAGAGACTGAATCGCTGCCAGGCCTTTCGCGACAGATGAAGAAGGCAGAAGAAATTAAGTAACTGAATCCCTGCCAGGCATATTGCGTACGCCTTGATAGGTTTATTATTAAAAAGTAAGCCCAGTGGGCCCAAAAAGCACTACAGATGACCACATATATCATACGCCTACGCCTCAGACTTCCTTAAGGCGTAGATAGAATTGTGTATGCCTATGTAGACTAGGGGTGTGAATGAGCCAAGCCGCTCGTGAGCTGCTCATGGATCGCTCGGGAAAAGCTCGACTCGAGTTCGGTCAAATTAAGCTCGACTCGAGTTCGGCTCGACTCGAATAGTTAACAAGCTCAATTCAAGACTGTTTATTTTAGGCTCGTGACTCGCGAGCCGGTTTGTGAGCCTTTGTGTCATATATATTATATATAATAATATATATTATATATAATAAATATATACTTGTATGTAATAATTATATATGTATTTTTATTGAAACATATATTCTAATTTAGGACTTTCATTTTCAATACTTATCACAGAGTATATTATAATAGTAATAATTACAAATATAATAACATGTGTGTAGTAGTATTATTATAACCATAATCTGTAATAATTATAATATGTACTCTTAATATTTATTGACGGTAAAATAAAGAAGAAAAATGTTAGTAAATGAAAGATAAACTAAAAATAAGAATGAATAAGTACACATATAATATTTTTAGCTTGAGTTTGAGTATTTTATTCGAGTTCTAACCTATAAAAATAATTAGCAAAACTTGACCCCCACTCGAATCAAGCTCGAATGGAGCTCGAGCCGAGCTTGACTCGAGATCGAACTCGAATTATTTAACTCGTCCAAGCTCGAGCTCATGAATTCTTATCAAGCTCAAGCTCAAGCATACTCATGCTCGGGCTCGGCTCGGCTCGTTTACACCCCTAATGTAGACTCTGCATAATACAAGTAACTCGTATGCCATAACACCTTCCGCAATAAGCAAAGCAATCTTATGCATTACTCCAGGATATTGGTGTGGTGCGCCTCAAAGTGGTATTGCATTGTGCAATTACAAACCATGCTATTAGTCAATTTGGCCCTTAACTTTCTTTTGAACTCAGTTTGGTGCTCAATCATGCAATTTAGGCCCTATTTGGTATCACCAATTGACTGCAGATTAATTAATAATCAATGGCAGCAGAATAGTAGCCATTACCTTAGGTGGTTGGCTGAATAAATTTACCAAAGGAAATATTGACAACAATAATCCCACCTTTGACCGGTCTACTCATAATTATCTCACCTTTGCGTAATTCGAGAATAATCCCACCTTTGCAGCCCCTCTTCTCTCATTGGACCTTGACCTATTGATGACCTACTATACTAGGTTTTTTGTCTTTTATTGTTACTTTGTTCAGTTTGTTGTGTGTGTTTTCTTTTTTCTTTCTCCTTGTTACCTTAATTCTAACATCAATATATATTTTTCTCCTTTTCTGCATCATCCTATTTTTCTAAGTAAGTTCCCTTATAAATTTCATCAACTATTGGAAAACTTCCTTGTGATAAAAAGATTAGAGAAAAATAAAATTCAAAGAAAAATAAAACAATCAGGAAAATGTAAAAAAGGAAAAATTATATATACTCTTTACACGAAGAAGGGTAGATCACTAGATGTGAGAAACATTATCTGAAATGGGGAAAAAATAAGAAAAAATCTAAATCAAGAAATTGTCAATATTCACTAACATGTCAGAAACAAGTGAAAACGGAAGAGTTGAAAAGGTACAAAGAAAAAAACAAATACTTTTTAAGTAGGTGAAAAGGGGGAAAAGGAAAAGGAGAATTTAAAGAAAAGAAAAGTTGAAATAAAAGATAAATGAATAATAAGAGTAATGTGGGATAATAGTCTTTAAAAATAATTAACCAAAAGTAATACATAAAAAAGGGAAGTAGTAAAAATAGGGAAGAAGAAAAAAGAAAGAAACTATTGAGAAAAAGGAAAGCAAAAACAAAAATAGATTAAATAAATGAAATAATAAGAAGAAGAAAAAACGAAACGTCGAACTGTTTTGAGCAGATTTGTGAAAGATGAGATTATGTATGTAAGATTTTCATAAAAAAATACAAAAAACCTAGTATAGTAGGTCATCAACCGGTCAGGGTCCAATGAGAGTAGATTAGCTGCAAAGGTGGGATTATGCAAAGGTGGGATTATTCTGGGATTATGCAAAGGTGGGATTATTCTGGGATGCAAAGGTGAGATTATTATGGGCAGACCGGTCAAAGGTGACATGCATTATTGTTGACAATTTTTCTTTTACCAAATGCTATTACAACATCCAAGCCTCAGTCTAAGAAGAGTTTGAGGTCAGCTAACATGAATCGACATATGAAATCGGACTTAAAAATGATAAATAGAAACAAGGGAGACCGACAAAAACAGATCACTCCTCACAATAAATAAATAAAGGCTAAAGGGTCAAATAGGCTCTCGAACTAACTTAAAAAGTGCAATTCATCACCCTTTATATAGGAGGCTCTGTCCGGCCGTCGCCAATTGGGGTGGTTCCCGGTGGAATATTTTGATGAAATTTTTGAGCATCTTATTCACAATGTCTAGTTTGTTCATACCAAATTGAAGCTATAAATTCAATCAGGAAGACAGTCAAATGAATTTTTGAAGTCAAATGAATTTTTGAAGATATAACTGCGCAGTTAAACATCGCAATACATTTCAGAAAGTACATTTCAGAAAATCATTTGACTGTCTTCCTGGTTGAATTTTTATCTGAAATTTGGTTTGGATAAACTAGACTTAATGAAGAAGATGCTAAAAAAAATCCACCGAGAACCGCCCTAATTGGCGACGGCCGGACAGAGCCTCCTATATAAGGGGTGAATTGCACTTTTTGAATTAGTTCGAAGGCCTATTTGACCCTTTATCCATAAATAAATAAATAAAAACAGATCAATCCATAGGTATACACTCTCCCTCTACTTTGCTATCTTCAAAGTCATCTCTCATCTAACCACATCTAACCCAAGGAGTACCATATCATTCCTAAACACTCTAATTCATGTTTTTTGGGTCGTCCTTAGGCCTGTCAATGGGTCGGGTCTAGACCCGGACCCGACCCGGACCCGGTTGTTTTTAACGGGTATGGATCCTTATTTTATTCCGTTTACCCGGACCCGAACCCAGACCCGTTAGTACTTTTAATAAACGGGTCGGGTATGGTACTTATGATTCCGACCCGTTAAGGACCCGGACCCGTTTAAAAATTTCTTATTAGTATTTATACACACACACTAATACATAAAGAGATTAGTTATAATACTTCAAATAAAAATACAAACTAATATATATAAAGTGATTAGTTTTAATTCTTTGATTAAAAAGAAACAAATTAATACATACGTAATGTATACGTGATAATATAATAGTACGTAGTATTTAATATGCTTTTAGTCCAAAAGAACTTTTTTTGACCTAATTTCTAGTCTAATATACGAGCTTTCTGTGGGAGACAAAGAGACACAGAGTGCGGAATTGTACGCATCTACAAGAACCGATATTTTATTGAATAAAAGTACTAATTTTCTATGATAAACCTTGATTTTTTTTTTGAAAAGTGAAGATATATTTTGCTTTTAAATTTGTGCACTTTGATTTACATTTCATATACATGTTTTACTATTTTTAAAAATTATATAATGTTCTGTCAAAAAAAAGTTATATAATGTTGTGCATATGATACTTGGCGGGTCTACCCGACCCGGTTCCGAGACCCGTTGGGTCCGGGTCCGGGTCCAAATTTTTAGACCCACCGGGTAAACGGGTCGGGTCCGGGTCCTTTATTTACTTAGCGGGTCCGGGTCTGGACACTATGTTCCGACCCGGACCCGACCCATTGACAGGTCTAGTCGTCCTCTCCCTCTCCTCCGTGTCTCTTCTCCCCAAATAACAATTCGTCTAACAGGTGCATCACCCTATCTTCAACACATATGGCCAAACCATCACAATCAAGACTCATGTGATGTGACTAAGTTATACTATTGGTCGTCACGCGCCTATCACAACACCCGAGTTGAGAAGGCATGATACCATAGTGCCCTCCTCTACGAAACGCTATTCAATTAGAAAATTGAGCAGATTCAAGTAATTCACTAATTCAACCATCTATTTCAGCCAAATAACTCTAACCGAAACATAACTTAGACTAAGGCTGTGTTTGGCACGCCAGTTCAGCTGAAAAAAGAGCTGAAATCTTTTAAATTCAGTCAATTAGGAGCAAAGTAGACCCGTTTGTTTGAGAGGCTGAAATAGACTTGAGCTGAAAAAAGTGGGCTGAAATGGAACATTTCCCTCCCTAGCGTTTAGAACCAGTCCCTCCATTCCAGACTTCACATACCCGTTATATCCCTCACTTCGCATGCATACATATATTCATCTCTCTATAATTCATTCCCCATCACTGCCCACTTGTTTGCAATTGATTTGTGTCAATGGCTTTCTCATCACGATTTTTCTCGTTGTTCAGAAGCTA